TTTGTGAAGGCGGGATTGAAAAACCTCCCTAGGAGGGAGCTTCCACCACCAACCCCCCATTCCAGCAGTCTACCACCTTCCTGGGACAATAGACCGAGAGCACCATAGGGGGATGGACCAAGACCCCAATAGTCCACCTCCCCATACTGAACTGGTTCCAAATGGATCGGTAGCTGATGAACTTCCACAGAGAGAAGGCAACCCGCTTCTGGAGGAGGATGGCAGGTCACATGTGAGTGTTCCATCGCCTGAGGGCAGGGGCAATCTACTCCCATAACTCCAGAAAGGTGTCTTTCCTCATCCGGAAATTCTGGAGCCACTGCTGGTTGTCCCACAGCTCCACAATGAGTTGGTCCCCACAGTCTGCACTGGTGTCCAGTCACCAGAAGTGGCAGTGTACGGTGTACAGGGGATGGTAGGTGGGATCCAGCATTATGAACCACTCCCACAGAGAGTTGATGAGGGTCTCCAAGGTGAGCAGGGGGGTTGGGTTCCTGCAGGGTCTGGGAGGCAGCCTGCAGAAACAGCTGCATGAGGTGCAGAACAAGCTGCAATAGTCATCAATTGCCCAGAAGTAGCTCTGGCTCCATAGGCAGAGTGCTGAGGTGTCTGCAAGGGTGACCAGAGCAGGAAAAGGAATGGGTTTGCTGTCCCTCAATGAGGGTATGTCTACACTTCCACCCTAGTTCGAACTTGGGTGGCTAATGTAGGCAATCGAAGTTGCAAATGAAGCCCGGGATTTAAATATCCCGGGCTTCATTTGCATCTTGCCGGGCGCTGCCATTTTAAAATCCCCGTTAGTGCGGACTCCGTGCCTGCGGCTACACGCGGCACGGAGTAGGTAGTTCGAATTAGGCTTTCTAATTCGAACAACCTTTACTCCTCGTAGAACGAGGAACGAGGAGTAATGGTAGTTCAAATTAGAAAGCCTAATTCGAACTACCTACTCCGTGCCGCGTGTAGCCGCAGGCACGGAGTCCGCACTAACGGGGATTTTAAAATGGCAGCGCCCGGCAAGATGCAAATGAAGCCCAGGATATTTAAATCCCGGGCTTCATTTGCAACTTCGATTGCCTACATTAGCCATCCTGGTTCGAACTACCCGGAGGTAGGCAAAAGAGAAAAACCTGAGATACGGCTATACTGGGGGGTCCCTTTAAGCATGAGCCTCAAATAGTCTCAGGCAGCAGCCATGTCGAACTACCCGGAGGTAGGCAAAAGAGAAAAACCTGAGATACGGCTATACTGGGGGGTCCCTTTAAGCATGAGCCTCAAATAGTCTCAGGCAGCAGCCATGGGAAGAGAGTGCTGTCTTGATGCCCTGCCTGAAGTGCTCCCAGGGGGTCTTAAATGTGATTCAGTGTCCAATGAGTGTGGCCGCTCTATTTTGAAATAGTGCTACTTCTATGGGCGTTTGGTGTGTAGACACGCTATTTTGAAATAAGCTATTTTGGAGTGTTTCTTCCATAACAGCTTATTCCGAAAGAATTGTGTAGGGTAGATGTAGCCTGGGGGACTAGTATTAGCCTATTGCCTGGTCCGATTCTCTCTCTGATGTTTGATTTTGCTATACTGTGTGCAAGTCTGTTTAGATCTCTGGAGGACAGGGAAAGTATAAATATTGATTTATACATTATAAAAATGACCCAAATAGCTTGTATATGCATTTGTATATTAACTTCTACACAGCTGTGATTAAAAAGAAGAAATATTTGTTTCTAATTTTATTTAAAAATTAGCGTCTGGCAACTGCTCAGAGACTGATCATTTGAGGATGCATACTCATTTGCCTCCTTGCCATCCTCCAGCTGTGGGCCCATAACATTTGTGATGCTTCTCACTTGGAACACTGGTGCCTACATTGGCAAATTGAGTCAGAAGTGCTTTCTCCTAATCATAGCCAAGCAGAATACATTTTTTATTTTTTCTGCCAAGTGAGAGAAGGGGTGTGTCTAGACTACATCCCACTTTCAATAGATTAACAGGATCTTTCAAAAAAGCCTTCCCTTTTCAAAAGAACCGCATCTAGACTGCATTTTTACTTTCAAAATAGCTCTTTTTCAAAAGAGCGCCATGACATGATTATGCAAATGAAGCACGAGAAATTCAAATCCTGTCTTCATTTGCAATTTCGAAGTGCCTAATTTACATCCCTCTGTTGAAAGAGGGATGTAGTCTAGACGTACTCAAGAGCTCAGGCCTTGTTTACATTGGCTGTGTTGTGTGTGGTAAATGTAGCTACATGCTATGGTGAAAAGCAAACTGTGTCCATAAGCAGCACATAGCTATACTGGTAGTGAAAGGCTCCGGCCAGGAAGAGGCATCAGAAAAATATTCCAGCACCAGGGAGCTGCCAGGAATCTATTACTGGAATCTCTCACTGAAGCTATGTCCACACTGTTTCCCTCTTCCGCAAAAGCCTATGCAAATGAAGCATGGATTAGCATATTGCCATGCTTAATTTGCATAATTAATTAGGAGCCGTTTGTGCACAAGATGTTTTTGTGCAAAAGGTGCCATCTACACAGCCCCTTCTTGCGCAAAACCCCCCTCTTGCGCAAGAGCCATTCTTCCTGAAAAAATAAAGAACAGCTCTTGTGGAAGCGGGGTTTTTTGCGCAAAAATGGCTCCTAATTAATTATGCAAATGAAGCATGGCAATATGCTAATCCATGCTTCATCTGCATAGGCTTCTGCAGAAGAGGGAAGCTGTGTAGACGTAGCCTGAGGTGTTGAGAACTTCTGACAATATGGAGGGAGTGGGACACTACACTGGAGACAAGGGATGCACTGCTTGGGTGTAGGGAGCACCATTTAGGGAATTTTAAAAGACTTACTTGGCATTATACAGGTCCTTCAGGGAAGGGAGCTGATGGGAGAGGGTTCAGGAGTCCGGGTGGGATGTTGAGGAGGGTGGGGGGCTGAGGATGTGGGGGTGAGAGAATGAGGTCTAGGGCTGAGGAACTCAGGGCCCTGGGTCTCACTCAGCAGGGTGCTTTCTCTCCTCCCAACAAGTTTACACTACAGATCCATGTCAGTATAATTATAGTTGCTTAATGATATGATAAATCCATACCCCCAGGTGACAGTTATATTGACCTAACCCACCAGGTAGATAGTACTATGTTAATGGGAAAATGTCCCCCACTGACATAGCTGCTTTTTGGGCAGGTGGATTAATTATGCCCACTATAGACTTCTTTCCCACTAGTTTAGAGCATCTTCATTAAAGCACTACAGCAGAGTAGCTGCTAAAGCATTTTAAGTGTACACTGCTCGAAGTGAACCGGTTTTATACAATATAGGGATAGTGCCAACATGTGAACAAAGCTTAATAAATTAAAGTGGCATTAGAAAACTTTTCCAGGATAGCAATGTCAGTGAGGGATGTAATTTTTGAACATCTATACAGGTGAAATCACTGATGTAGGTGCAGCTCTACTAGCTTTTCTAAGTGTAATGAGAAAAACTGGTAAATGCTGTATCAGTAACAGAACTCTTGGCTACATAAGGTGCATGTATACTAAAAGGGTATGCTAGTATAAACATACTTGCAAATCTCTTCTACCACAAACCTGGCCTAATGTGCACACACAATAGCAACAACACTTCAGGACTAAAATGTCATGTTATGAAGACTACATTCAAAACAGTAAGGGTATGTCTAGACTACATGGCTCCCTTGATGGAGCCATGTAAAATAATTTACTCGGCATAGTCAAAGAAGCGGGGATTTAAATAATTAAATAATTCACGAGGCATACCGGAGCAGTCGACAAAGGCTTCCCTTGTCGACTGCGCCGCATCTAGACTGCCATGCTGTGCCGGATCAGCTGATCGTCGGCACAGCGTGGCAGCCATTTTTATTTTAATGAAGCGGGGATTATTTAAATCCCTGCTTCTTTGACTATGCCGAGTAAACTATTTTACATGGCTCCGTCTATGAAGCCATGTAGTCTGGACGTACCCTAAAAGTGAGGCATTTCTTTTAAATGAAAGCTTTGATTCTACCCATGTATATGCTTGCTAGCACAAATAGTTCTCTAAGGATGTGTCTAGACTACAGGGTTTTGTCGACAGAAGTTTTGTCGATAGATACTGTCGACAAAGCTTCTGTTGACAAAGAGCGTCTAGACTACATCCAGTTCTGTCGACAAAGCAAGCCACTTTGTCAACATAACAGTGTGGATGCAAAGGACAGTGTAGATGCAATAATGCCTTCTATCGACAGAACTCTGTCAACAAAAGGCGTTATTCCTCGTAGAATGAAGTTTACATACGTCAACAAAACTACTGAGTCTTGTCGACATTATGTCGACATAACTCAAAGGCAGTGTGGATGCAGGTATAGTTTTGTCGACAAAACCCTGTAGTCTAGACATACCCTAACTGATGCCCATGGAACTGCTCTGGATAGAAATTACCAGACTTTGCAGATTCACAGGGAATGGTTCTAAAATCAAGTGTTTTAAATATCAGTATATCATTCATATTAATAAATTGATAGACATACTTATGACAGTTATCTAAACACACATCTGCTGAGCAAAAACATTTTAAAATAATTGAAAATAAGGATTGGAATGAGAAGGGAGTAGTGTCTAATGGGAAAAAAACTCAACCCAACCCATCCCTGAATCATATCATTTTACTCAAATCTGGAATCTTTTACTTGACTTCACAGAACTCATTAAAATAGTGCAATATATTCTTAAAACTATTTGTTTGCCAGATATGAATGCTTTCTCCTTTTATTTTGTTTTTCTCTCCTAGAAAACATTTATTATAATTACAATAAGTTTTAAGATACCAGTTTATAAAAGAGCTGACGTATATTTGAAACAACTGGAAATGACACTTTAGCTCCACTCTCAGCAGATTACTATATTGAAATACTTTCTATTATACTGATTTTTTTCATAGCTCAGTGAAAGGTGAAGGGATAAGCATTCTCAGGTTTGATAATACTATAGTAGCCTTATTTTCCTCTTTCTTTAACAGGATATCGATAGCTAGCTGTTCACCCACGGGAATGAACACCAACGGTTCAGATGAATATTTCCAATCTATAAATCATGCAGAGCAGACATTCCGTAAGATGGAGAACTATCTCCAGCAGAAGCAGCTGTGTGATGTTCTTCTCATTGCTGGAAATCACAAGATTCCAGCTCACAGGTGGAATTTTTCTTATTGTTTAAGAAGCTTTTATAGTCTGACAGTTCTAAGAGTTCAGATAATATGAGTTCTCTGTCCCTGATTTGTTCTGAACGAATGATTACAATATGAGCACATCAGCAGAAGACAGTGAAATGATCTGATCATAGCTTCAAATTCATTATTATGAATGGAAAGAAATTCAACTATGAATAAGTTTTTCTATTTTATTACAGTCAAAGTATAAAGAGATGAATAAAAAAGCACAAAGGCCCCCTGAAAGAAAATTAAATACTAATTACTTAATTACCCTTTTAACTTAATAATTAATTACCATTTTAACTTCACTGCTCACCACTGTATCAATTAAGTATTAGGCAGAAGATATGTTTCCACTACACATACAAATGAATTGTATAATAATGGGCTGAATTTTTGCTTCTTATTGAGATTATGAACTAATTTAGATTCCCTAAACTATTTCTGTTTCAAGATTGGTTCTTAGTGCCGTGTCTGATTATTTTGCTGCAATGTTTACTAATGATGTGCGTGAAGCAAAAGAAGAGGAGATCAAAATGGAAGGAGTGGACCCAGAAGCACTGAAAGCTTTGGTTCATTATGCCTATACAGGTAATTCCTATTTTCCAGTTCTGTAAAGAAAAGTGAACACTATCCAATGTACAAACATATTCCACGTCATCCATTTTATACTAGTGTTTAGGTCATGGGTGGGCAAAAGGGCCTCCACGGGCCAGATCCAGCCCTCCAAGCAGGTGGATCCGGCCTATGGAGGCCCTGCTGCTCCCCTGCCCCCCATGCCAATTAGGGCATGAGGGCGGGGGAGCACGCAAAGCCTCCTCCCACCCTGCCAGGAGCATGTGGTGCTTTGAAGCACTGTGCGCTGCTCGCAGGGTGGGGTTTGGGGAGAGCGGAGGAGGCTTCACATGCTCCCCTGCTCCCAGGCTGTAATTGGCATAGGGGCAGGGGAGTGAGGAAAGTCTCCTCCCATGCCAGAGGCATGGGCAATCATTGTCTGGGGGTGGGGAACCTATAAATATCTTGGCCCCGCCCTTTCTGTTCAATGCTCCACCCCTTCATGTGCAGCCCGGGGGCCACACAAAAAATTTCTGTAGTGGCCCCCGGCAAAAAATTATTGCCCACCCCTGGTTTAGGTGCATACATCAGATGGGAAAATATATATGTGAAGTATTTTATTCATGAAATATGTTGAAAAAATAAAAATACCCCACAACAACCTTGCTCTTATTGTGAAAAAAAATCTCAAAGTTACAGAGTAAGCTATGCTTTAGACCCTTTTGTGTCCCCTAACATGAAAGTTCTAGCTTCATCCATCTCTCTGAAGGGTGGAACAGTGTGATTCAACAACTCAGGAAGTGAACCTCTTTGTGGCAAGTTTCATTCAGTCCACTGCCCTCCATCTCAGCTGGGAGAAGCAGACTGCCTTGCTGTATTCTTTCCCTCCTTCCCTGCGTCTGCATCAGCATCTCCATCTGCGGCAACGTCTGACAACTGACTCAATTCCACTTCTGACAGATAGATAGATAGATAGATAGATAGATAGATAGATAGATAGATAGATAGATAGATAGATAGATAGATAGATAGATAGATAGATAGATAGATAGATAGATAGATAGATAGATAGATAGATAGATAGATAGATAGATAGATAGATAGATAGATAGATAGATAGATAGATAGATAGATAGATAACTCCACATCATACATGACAGATAGCTTATTCTATTCTTGGACCAACATCTGATGGTGAAAGAGAGAAGCTTCTACAGGTTAAGAAGAGCTCTGCATAACTCAAAAGCTTCTCTCTCACCAACAGAAGCTAGTCCAATAAAAGATATTACCTCATCCAGTTTGGCTCTTTAACATCCTGGGACGAAATGACTACATCAACACTGCAAATAAGTAGAACATTTTCCATTTTTAATTCCAACACAAAGAAGAGCCATACTAATTTAAATTTTAAAAAGGTCAGATTCTACTTGTTTCTTTGCTTATAAAGTTAGGGGTAGAGCATGCTGAGAACGTTCCTACTTTGGATGGCCCTAGAAATGGCCAGTTAAAACATCAGCAGCTCACCTCCAAGGAGGGAGGCACAGGTTATTCTTGGAGTTGGACCAATATAGCAAGGGAAATATGTTGTACTCATAGCATGAAATAGCCACAAATCTGAAATATTAACTACAGGTACTGATGTTTACTTGAAAAAGATATTTTATGTTAGTAGCAGAGTGTTACTAGCTTTTCTAGTCTATTCTCCCTCTCCCTTTTTAGTACAACTACACCCCAATGTTTAATTAATTACTAATTTGAATCTGAGGCCAAACCTGCTGGTCTGTAATCTGTGCAGAAAAATGCTGTAGAACAGATTTTCTGTTACTATAGTGTATAATCCAATGTAAAATATCCATAGCATTCAAAGTTATGCAGGTACTGAAAGGTTGCAAATACTAGCTCTCTGGCAGAAGAAAGATTACATTGACAAAAATGCCAAAGGAGCTCTTTCTCCCATGGCTGAATCTTGAGAAAGAAAAAAACAGTCTTCCAGAATATGGCAGCACAAAAGAGAACCTACTGCAGAAGGCTATACAACGAAAGTTACAGCTATTCGGGCATATCTGCAGAATGAACAATCAGCGAAAAGTTAAGACCCTGGTATTCAGCATAATGGATGTTCTGAATAAGAGAGGCAGACCCCACAGAGAATGGGTAGATGATATAGTAGGTTGGTGTGGAGGTAGTCTACAGAAATGAAGCCACTCCGCATTGGACAGGGAAAGATGGAAGGGAATATTGAGGGAGGCATCGGACGCCAACGGCGTTGAGCACATTGTTGTTGTTGTTGTTGTTGTTGATGATGATCATGATAATGATATTTCAAAATAGAGCATCCACATTGATTGGATACACTAAGTCGTACTGAAGACCACCCGGAATCACTTCAGGCAGGGCATCAGGACTCAGCAACTCCTAGGAACTATGCCTGAGGCTATCTGAGGCTTGTGCTTAAAGGGACCCCCCTGTACAGCCTTTTCTTGGGTTCTTCACCTTTGTCTACCTCCTTGAGTGACAGCAAAGCCTTTGCTCTGACTGCTGTGGTAGCCTTTGTGGACCCCTCTGCTATCCAGCCATGCAGCCACAGCCACCTCTGAGAAGTCGATGGCCCTATTAGTTGTGCTGCAGTTTCTGCAGCAGTTTTTGCAGGATGCCCTCCTGGCCCTGCAGGAACACAACCCTCATCTGATAGAGGAGATCCTTACCATCTCTCTGAAAGCATAGCTCTTCTAGATGCACCCCACTGTACACCACCACTTCTGGCGGCTGCATACCTATTCCGACCGGTAGGACCAGCTCATCATGGAGTGATGGGATGACCAGCAGTGGCTCCAGAATTTCTGCATGCAGAAGGAGACTTTTCTGGAGCTGAAGAAGCAGGTTGCCATCGCTGTGTGGAAGCTCATGATGAAGGACAGATAGAGATCCATTGGCAACCAGTTCCGCATGGGGAAGTCAATCATCGTGGCCCTCGTCGTGCAGGTATGGTTTTCTCAGGCTAAAGTCCCAGCAGGGGGGGTGAACTGCTAGGAAAAGGGGTGGGAGAGAGGGAAGCCTCCTTCCCCAGGCAGTTTTTCAGTCCCTCACACAGCCCTGCTGAGGGATGGGTCATGTAGGGGGTTGTTCCTGGTGTGTGTGGAGGGGGAGGGAAAGGGAGGGGTGGGCTTGGGGACCTCCCAAGGTTTCTCGCACTCCTGTGATTCTCTGTTTGTTTGTATCCCTCTACAGGTAGTGCAGGCCATCAACACTGTCCTGCTGTACAGGGTCATCAATCTTGGTGACATGGATCCCATCATCGCCGGGTTTGCCGACATGGACTTCCCCAACTGTGGTCTGGATGGCAAATGGATGATGCCGTCCCCCTTAGGAGGGAGTCCCTGATCATGACCACCCATCTCCTTCTCTTGAGAGTGGTAGTCCTGGATCCCCCATCTCTAGCACTATGCATTCGTGTCTTCTGGTCGATGGGGCCTCCTTCTTATCCCTTCCATCAGAGGTCTCTTCCAAAGCATTCTCCACTGTAGTACCTGTGCAAAGAGCCTGAAAATGGTTACTTATATCTATCTGGAGTGAGGATACCTGAGTTGTCGTTCTTCTCCTGGAGGTCACATGTTGCTAATTTTCTTCTCTGTTCTGCATTACCCTCTCTGGCCCTTCAGCATGCTGTACCCACAGTATCAAATGCTGACTTCATTTTCTCTTACGGAATGCAGGGTTGATACTTGGGTTTCTAGTCCTTTAACCTTCTCTTCCAATATGGAGACCAGCTTGCATTTTGTAAAGACAAAGATTATGCTCTGGAAGGAGGACAAACATGTGCAGATCGCAACAGCTGATCCCTCATTATCCATATTGTATTCCTTCTGAGAGACTCCTTAGCTGTTGTATTTATTGTGCCCTGAAGTCTGAAGGGGAGAAGAGAAAGAAAAAGCAAGAAAAAACAAACAACCCCTCCAACCTCTGTGGGGCGTCCCTAAGGCAAACTCCCAAGCAAACTGCCTGGCTGTGTCTAGACTGGCCAGTTTTTCTGGAAAATCAGCTGCTTTTCTGGAAAAACTTGCTAGCTGTCTACACTGGCCGCTTGAATTTCCACAAAAGCACTGACTTCCTACTGTAAGAAATCAGTGCTTCTTGCGGAAATACTATGCTTCTCCCGTTCAGGCAAAAGTCCTTTTGAGCAAAACTTTTGCACAAAAGGGCCAGTGTAGACAGCTCAGATTTGTTTTGCGCAAAAAAGCCCTGATTGCAAAAATGGCAATCGGGGCTTTTTTGCACAAAAGCACATCTAGATTGGTCACGGACGCTTTTCCGCAAAAAGAGCTTTTGCGGAAAAGCGTCCGTGCCAATCTAGACGCTCTGTTCCGAAAATGCTTTTAACGGAAAACTTTTCTGTTAAAAGCATTTCCGGAAAATCATGCGAGTCTAAACGTAGCCCCTCTGTTTGCTGCTACTTTGTTTGCTCTGGCTGCTTTTTTATAAAGCTGCTGACTCCAAGAAGATTCCCGAGCTCAAAGACTTGCCTCCAATCCAATCAACTCTTCAAGGTCCACCTTGAACAAAGCACTCCCAATTTACACTTTTCAAGCAGACAAACACACAATCAAACAATCCCTGCAACAAGGTCAAACAAATGGTCAGACAGACAGGCACTTGGATACTTATTCCACCACCTCTCAACACAGCCCTGCTAATGCCACACTCACCTTGCATCTCTCAGTTTGATTCTCTAAGCACCCATAGAAATATTAGGTCTTATGTAAAGAGATCATTGTCAAATGAGAAAAGCACAACCTGAAATGCAGATTTTACATTAATATTCTAATTATATTGATATTATGGAACAAAATTAATAAGCATGATTCAAGGAAATGAATTAGTGCAATTATGTGGTTGGTACAATAAAAAGAAAATTTGATTAATATAAATTAAATTTATTCCAACTTTTTAAAAGTCAGATATAGGAACGCTTTAATTAATAATTAACATTAGAATTTATATTAACATAGAAATATAGTAATTTATTTGAAAATGAATGCATAACATATAAGCATAAAATAAATGTCTCAATACTATCTTTCATTAGACAGTCTACCAACCTAGTTCAAAATTACCAGTTTTCTAGGTTTTCTGTTAGTGGGTAACTCAAACAAGATGCTATGAATCTCAACATTAGCTTTCTTCCCAAGCTGGCTGTTTCTAGGTTTTCCCTGCAGAGACTCCCCATCCTAATCCCTTGTTTCCTCTTTAAACAGATACCCTTTAAACAGATACAGTACTGACCCAATGTCAGAATGATGTGACCAAAAAAAATCCATATCTTGACTCAGAATTAGCATTCTGAGAAGTGTATCAGAAATTAGTGTGGTAAAGGTTGACAAGTAGATAAACTTTGGTCATTGACAAAAACACACAAGTTGTATAGGACATCAGAAGGCTCAGTTGCAACCTAAACTAGTGGCTACTGAGGGCCAGTGATTCAACCTGAAAGCTTGACCAGATTTTCCACAGATTTTTCTCAATAACTCATGGGGGAGGGAATGCAAATAGATACATAAGGGATATCTATTCTATGAGTTACAGCTGTGAATCCCAGCATGCATATACATACTTATGCTAGCTCTCATCTGAGCTAGCAAGCTAAAAAGAGTAGCGTAGTCATAGCAGCAGGTAGTGCTGGTATAGGCTAGTTGGCCTACATACAAAACCTTCTGAACACTGTGGGTATACACTCGGGATGGCATGCCCATGCTGCTATCTGTGCTACTACAACAATGCTATTTTTAGTGTTCTAGCTCAGTTAAAAGCTAGTACAAGTATGCATACGGGAGCTGGGAATCACTCCCATTTCTCATAGTGTAAATGCAGCTTTAGTTACAAGGAAAATGAATGGCAAACCAATTAATACATAATTTTCTTCATCTAAACCACACAGGTGTTTTAGAGTTAAAGGAAGATACTATAGAAAGTTTGCTGGCTGCAGCTTGTCTTCTCCAACTGTCTCAAGTCATTGAAGTATGTTGCAACTTTCTCATGAAGCAGCTCCATCCTTCAAACTGCTTAGGGATTCGATCCTTTGGAGATGCGCAGGGTTGCACGGAACTTCTGAGGATGGCACATACATTCACTATGGTAAGATTAATAAACCAACAGTTTTGAAATGACAGTATGAAAAGCAGGCACTAATACTGAATTGGATCCTGAAAAATCAATTGTGTGATGGAAAGGCAGCAAGGAGCTAATGGAGCAGAACTAGTTGAGTGCAGAGGATTATGGATACTGCAATCTCACAGACTGATGCAGAGGTTGTAGTCACCATTTGAGATCAAGAAATACTGAGCCTTACAAAGTTACTGTGCTTCCAGGAGCTACCAGTGCAGGTGTATCCTGCACAATGCCTAACGTGAAATATGTGCCACAAACCATCCTCAAAAGGAAAGGTAAAGGGGTAATTATTGGGATGAAATTGGAACTGATAAAAACAATAAGACACATTTGGTTTTATGGTTTATAGTTTTGACTTATGTAATTACTGGTATTAAAAAGAAAAAATATGGACAGACATCATTTTTATATTTGAAGAAGATACAATACAGATTGCATATGATGTCCTTTGAAAAGTGAACTGGATTCTGGACAAGCTGATGTCAAGGAAATACCACAGTTCATCTCTGACTTACAGTAGTGCAAAGAAAAGTCCAAAACAGCTTTCAAGGTGTAAGCAAACAGAAAGAAAGATGAAATAAAGTATATGAGATTTTAAAAAAATACAAAAAGTGGCAATTACAGCATAATTAATGTAAAAGAAAATACACCGAGGAAACAAATTGCAATTTTATTCTCAAAATATGAACACGAGACCATTACATTTAGTAGCAGCATTTAGTTCCAGAGGCAGAATGCTTTTGCATGCTAAAGTAAGTTAATTTGGACATGGTGGCAATTAAGGACAAACTCTGATACATTTTAAATGACAGGCTACAACTTTATTAAACTTATCACTGCAGAGGGACATTACCCTTCCTCAAAACTATACTCTCACATACCAGACATTTTAAGTGGTTTCATTGCAGGGCTACTGGGCTCCCACAATATAACCCCTCTGAAACTCATAACCCATAGACAGGATTTTTTTAGCCTATCCCAGGGACTCAGCTCAGTCTTCAGAATCCTATCACTGCACCCATTTCCCTGTGAAGGGGACAAAGAGTACTAAAGGAGGGACCTCAGCCCTCAAATCATAGAATCATAGAAGTCCACAAGGTCTGCCCCTGTTCCAGGAACACAAGGCACACCAGCAAAATGTCTTTTTTACATTAGTATTTCTGTGAGCTGTTTTTTTCCTTTAAAAGAAGGAAACAGGTTACAAAGTTGTGACAAATGTACATCCCTACCAAGTACTACCACTAAGTATTCTTATTTAACTCCTCCAAGATGCTCTGAAGAAGACAAAATACTTACTAGGCCTACACGAATTTGGTCCTTATGGGAAGAAAAAATACCTTTCTGATGCCAAACAGGTCAGCCTGGTAGCATCTGCAATATGCTGCTCGGAAGCTACCAGTTTATGGTGGGAAGTATAGAGCTTCTGAAATGAGGAAAAAAGGTTCCACGTGCTCTTCACAAGAGTTTAAGTTAGTGTGAGTGCAGGAGACTGCTCCCTTCAGGCACTGGGGCATGTGTGCAGGGCGGCCATCCACAAGCAGTCTGGGCACACAGCTCAGAACAAGCAAGAGCAGCATTTCTTGACGCAAAGAGCCACATGCGGCTCGAGAGCTGCGGGTTTGCCACCCCTCCCCTACAGCTTAAGCTATAATAGCTCCACAGGTCCTAGTTTCAAATCTATCTGGTGGTGGTTGCAAGTGGGGGTTTGTTCCAGGTCTCAACTGGGTCTATGAAGCTCTGGATGTGCTTCCTTAGCTAGGGGAAGTATCTAATCCGTGCAGCTTGCTGTCCCATGTAGTGGCATTTAGAGGAGCTCTACAGCCTAAAGTGAGCGCCAGCTGGCTTTATAGCTCAAGCTATAGCAGCTCCTGTGATAAGCTCCAAAAGTCCCAGATTCAAATCTATCTGGTGAGGGTTACACTTAAGGGCAAGAAAGGAATACATTAAAAATCAGTTTCGGACTAATTCAAGAACATTTGTTTTAAGTCAATTGAACTCAATCTTACAATAATAATTGAGGAAATTAGGTAACACTGTACACAGCCTGAACGTCAGGGGAGGAGACAGAATAAAAGGAACCGATTTTGGCCCATCTCCAGTTCAAACATTTGAAAATATCCTAATTAAAGGAGCTATTTATAAAAGCTTATGGCAAGGAGTGAGTTTGCTTTCAATATGAGATAACTGTAAATAGATTCAAAAATCAAACCAAAATCTGAACCTCTGAACACAAAACCAAACCTGAAAACTTTTATTCAGTTACTTTAGTTATTGATATGAACTTTTAACAGTACCCTGCCTGGTATCTTTGTCATGCAGATGACGCCTAGTCTGATAAACAGCTTGTACTATTTTTGTAACTAAAAGTGAACTTGTCTTCCTGTTCCCTGGACTGTCACAAAATTAAAGCCGGATGAGCATTAAGGAACAAAGTGAATGTTTTCTTTAAATCCTCAATACTGTTGTTTTTATATCTATTTAAATACAATTACTTTTTTTTTAAGTTTGATAAGACTAAAGTCTCTAATGTTACTATGATAACGCCTATAACATACTGTATGTATAAGCAATATGCATGATATTGTCAATGCTGAAAATATCTTCATCTCCTTGCTCCAAGTTGCATTATATTTTCAAATATGAAATACAACTTTATTTAACAGTAGATATTAATTTATAGTTCAAGTACATCCATTCTATGCACGCATACATAGCAATTTGCATTTTTCTTTGGCTATGTTTGCACAACATAGTATTGCTTTAATGTCTTTCCTTAATATTGACTTATAAATAGACATTGTGAAGTCATATTTTTTGGAAAAATAAAAATATTCTTTTGTATGAAAGATTTTAGGACACCAAGATTCATGGCCAATTCTTGCAGTCTATGGTAAATTTTACCTGAGTAAGAATTGCAAACCTGAGTCCAAAAACATTTTAGATATTATGGCAGAAATATATAACCAGAACTGATAAGTGTGAGTGCTACTTTGCCTGCTGCGTGGAGTAAGGGGTTTCCCATGCCAGGGCTTGCACCTACAAATCTTTCTGCCTATACATTTCCAAGGGTTGAGACAGTGCTGCAAAGCTGAGCATAACCCATCTTTTTTGCATGAGTTTCTGACCTTGTTCCTCCCCACACCAAAGCACCACTGTCTTCTTCCAGCACCCCTTAGGGTTGCTAGGTGTCCAGTTTTGAACTGGACAGTCCAGTATTTGAGCTTTCTGTCCGGGAAACAAATTGAGAAAATACCGGATATATAAATGTTCGGTATTTTCTAATTTAGTAAGTTTTATTGTTATCATGAGTATCAGTATGTAGTTAAGTACTGTGTGAGCATGTCTAACAGCCAGGCAGTATGCAGCTATGCAGTAGAGAGGAGGGGGACGAGGGTGGGACCAAGGTGGGGTGGAATCTCCGGGGCCGGACTCGCCCATGCACACCACCAGGACCATGTGCGGGACAGGCAGCACCCTGGGGCCAGGTCAGCCCAGCCCCCTGCTGGCAGGTTCCCCCCCAGCCAGCCCCGTTCTGTGCTGGCCGGTTCCTCCCTGGCCAGCCCTGCTGCCCCCCGACCCTCTCCTGGCTAGCCCCACTCCCCTCCCAGCTGGTCCCCCTGCCCCCTGTTCCAAGATCATGTGTGTCTGGTATTTTTTTGAAAGCCATCTGGTAACCCTAGCAAGCCTTGACAACACCTCTTCCCCTCTCCCCCATTCCAAAGCAGGGGAGGCACTGTCTAACAAGAAATATTGTTAGACAAAAAAAAATCACAAGCTTGTAAATTCTGCTTTTTTTAGATATGATCACCCAAGATTCTTTACTAGACTCTTAGCTTTGTAGTGCCAGTCTAGTCTGAGATTTCCAGGGTCTTAGGTTTTTGACACTGACAAATGAGCTTTTCCCTGGGTACCTTTTCATTTCCATCTCTCTCATCTAAAATTTTCTAAATTCACTTCAGAGGATGCTCCCCTAAAATTGCCAATTCACCAAGCTGCCTTTCCTTCCCTGTGCTGAGGTGTTAAAGGAGGACCATTGAACCTGCTAGCTGTTAGTGTGCTAAGGCAGAAACAACATAGTTTTTCTAGCTCAGGGATGGCCAACCCACGGCTCTCGAGTCGCATGTGGCTCTTTGCTCAAAGAAATCCGGCTCTTGCTAGTTCTGAGCTGCATGCCCAGACTGCTCATGGCTGGCCGCTCAGTGCATGCACCCAGCACCTTGATGGGGAAGCATGTGACAGTGGCAGTCGCTCCAGTGAGACGCAGGCATTAAGTTAGAGCAAGGAGGGGGGTACCTGGCTCTGGAAGAGGGGTGGGAGTTTGGGGAGGGCAGGGAGCTGAAGGTGCCTGGCTCTGGGGGAGAGGTGGGGCATTGGGTTAGAGAGGGTATAGGGGCGGGGACTGAAGCACCTTAAATTCAAAGTCTTCATGGATGCAGATTAAGGCAGCCAATACAGATGTCATATTTAAATTCCAGGGCAAAAAAAGAATCAGCATGTACCCAGTTTACACTGTTTTTTTTAAAGAAAATTCAAAGGCTATTGTTTCCCAGGCTGAAGCAATTGTTCTGAGATATGAGTCTCTCCCTTATTGTTTTTGAACCTCTCATATTTGCAGTCTGGGATAGACCTGAATTTTTAGAACTATAAAAAAGTCATGATCTTCATAAGAAAAAAAATTAGGAAACCATATCAGAGACCAACAAGCTGGAGTGAAACAGGCACTTCAGACTGTGTTAATTTACTTCTCAGTTCAGTTTAATTTTAAAAAATTCACAGGACAGAATAGGGCAGTAGTGTTAAATTTAAAATACATGGTGGGGATGCTTTTTTGTTAGGCTATATATAGACTGCAGGCTTCTTTTGGAAGAAGCTTTTCCGAAAGACATCTTATGAAAAAACTTCTTCTGAAAGAGAGCTTCCACACTGCAAAAGTGCATAACAAAGCTTTCTGCTTTTTCAAAAGATAGCGTCCACTCTGAATGGACGCTATCTCGCATTTCAGCTGTGATTGCTATGTGCTTTTTCCTCTTTCCTCTTCTTTAAAAAAAACTCCCTCTTCCGTGTCCACACATGCCTTTTTCTGAAAGAACTCTTTTGGAAAAAGGCTTCTTCCGCATAGAATGAGGATTACCAATGTCAGAAAAACCCCTCTGCTTTTTCGATTTTCTTTCTTTTTCGACAGATCCCTTATGCCTCCTGTAAGGAGGTTTACAGGATCTGTCAAAAAAGGCTTTCTTTTTCGACAGATCCCGCCCCCCAGACTGCTGCTTTTTGCCGACAAAGTGCTGAGCCGGCAAAATGCAGCAGCCATTTTTATGTAAATTAGGCATGGGATATTTAAATCCCTGCCTCATTTGCAATGTCGACCTGCCTAATCTGCATCCCTCTGCCAACAGAGGGATACAGTCTATCCATATCCTAAGTGTGCGAGGGGAATGTGGGGGATGCCTTTCTCCTTCTCAGTCAGAGGCCACATCCAGTGAGTTGTGGTTTTTTTTTGCTTTTCACCTGTGTGGGGCCCCAACCCAAAAAAGGGTGTACTACTACATATGTACAACTGTACACTAGGGTGTACAGTTACAACATATGCTTTTAGAACCATTTGATCTTTGTTTAGGGTAAAATTTACCAGTTTACCAATTTGCCAATTTCCACCATGCCATTAATTATCTTTTCCATTCTTTTCCAACACTTTCCCTCAACATTTTTCTTATTTCCAAAAGCAAATTTCCCTGCATACCTTCCTGGATTATTTGAATGACCAATTGAATTGCTGACTTATTTCCTGGGCCTGTGTACAGGCTAATGCTAGGGACACATTTACTTGTATTGATCCCATAGTTCCTGCTAACAGTAACAAATCCTTTTCCTCCTGCTGTTGCCATACTGGCAATATTATAGAAAATAATTGTTGTTCCATTCCTAATTTTGACAAGGATGCACTGATAGACTTTCCCAACTCATGTATTTCAGCTGTAACATAACTTAGTAAGTTTGTTTGTCAATACCTCTATGTTAGTGGCATCCAACTCATAATCCATTTCCATCCAAAACAGTTTCTAATACACCCCTTGGGGTTCTTTTTCTTTTGAGTTTGCCAATATACCATAATTTTAGCCAGGCTGTCCACCCCTTATGGAATGTTTGTACATTTGGAGTGAACTGAGGTATCACCTTGGACACATTTAATTCAGTAAGGTCCCGTTTACTTTGATTTAGAGAATGTATTGGTGATATAATGATTTGTTCTCTGTGATCCAGCTTTACTACTACTCATTTAATGAGTGTCTTCTTGTTTTTTGCTCGGGCTTTCCCCCAGAGACAGTTTAATTCCTCTGGGAACCCAGGGTTTATAGATTTTGTGGGGCCCCTAGGCTCTAGGGTAGGGACAACAATAAGGGGTTCAATATGTGGAAGGGGGCTGCAAGGAACAGGCTGGGGATGTAGGGTCTGGGAAGGTGGAAAGCGTAGAAGAGAGCTGGGGAGTCTCAGTGGGAGCTGGTGTGCAGGAACAAGGTGGGGATGAGGGTGCAGGATGTGGTTCTTGCCTTGGGCTTTGTCTTCTCCATTCTGTATACTAATGGAGGGATTCACATGAGGCTAGGGAAGCTTTCAAAGGGGTTTAGGTTAGGGATGTAAGCAACTAGTCAACTACTCAATAATTTTAGGCTTATTGGGTAGTCAAGTTGACTACTCACTCCTCTCCTCCTCCCACTGCTTCTGTTTCAGAGGCAGCAAAGGGAGAGGTGGGGAAGCAGGAGCTGGTGCTGGTTAGAGCTGGTTTAAGAGCTGGGTCCCCTTAACACCATCTCCACATTGCTGCCTGAACCCCCCACTCCTATCAGAGGCAGCAGCGTGGGGCAGGAGGGGAAGGCAGAGGAGGCTTCCAGGAAGCAGCCTCTGCTTTGGTTCAAGCAGACACGGGGTGGAGAGATGTCTTTCATGAGTCAGATAAGCTAGATACTATGCCCTCATTCCCCAAGAACACAGAGTTGGTAGGATAAAACTTGTGCTAAAAAAAAAGAAAAAAAAGTAAAATAAACTCCAAGGTACAAATCAAGGTGCAAAAACCACAGCTGGTATTGCTAAAACCATTAACTACTAGTAACATAAACTATTTTGAACATTAGCTATTACTATTAAAATAAAAATGAATAGTACAGTGACTTGCATTGCACAGATTAATAAAAATAATAGAACTAGCATTTGCAAAGGAGCACAACTGTAATTAAAATGGTTTACAAAGACAAGAGTGCAATTCAGGGAATCACAGCAGCTGATAATACTGACTCTCATGAGACTTTACAATGACATATAAAACTGGTAAGAGACTTCTAAATCCTCAAAATGTGTTACACTCTCCCTCAAAGGCTGCATGTGAGATGTTTACAACATTCAGTCCCCTGTGCTATAGCATTGCAAAGGCAGAGAGGCTCTGCGGTGGTAACTTTAAGAGCACATCATAGCTGCCCTGTACTCTGGTACACCTCTACCTTTCTGTCTCCCTCCCCTTCTTTTGAACACTTGGCAGGTGGCTCATCCCACTGGGTAATTGTTACCCTTCCCCTTCCTGTATGGGGGCTGGCAGCATCTCTCCTTCCCCAGTCACACCCCACATCCTACCTTCCCCCCCACCTGATTCTTCCCCTCCAGCTCCACTTCTGCCTCACCCTAAAGTCACTTGACACCCCAGACCAGTTAATTTCTACTCCCTGCTCACACCCTGGCCATCCCTCCACTGTAATTTGCCCTGAACCTCTTCTTAATGTGAGCCAGGAATACTGTGTGAATCCACAAATGTAGCAGTCACACTAGCTCTTACTGAGCATGTTCCATTCCAGTGAGCATGCTCAGTACACTCTAAGCAGTCAATTATGACACAGGGAAGGGCTGACTTTTCTCATGTTTGGGTGACACTGGGGAACTTTGGGGGAGGGGTGTTTGCACCCTTCACACGGCTCCCCTCAGCATACAGGCCTGCTAAAGTTAGTCAGTTTCCTCAAAGTTCTCATGGAGTAGTCATGGAGGGAAAAAAACCCAATGCACAGTCTTTGTAGGGGAGCTCCTTTGCTAACCACAAGGGGACTGGGTGACAGAAGATTGTAGAGGGAGCTGAGCTAAAACGGAGCACACAACTCAGAACCAGCTACCAGGGTCTCAGAAAACAGATGTAAGATCCAGAGGAATTCTAATTGTTCTTGTTGATACTGGTGTATACTATTATTATGGCAGTTTGGACAGTCCCTGTTCTCTAGATCTAACAGCCTCTGTAGCAATAATCTTGTTCATATAGTACCTTTTAAAAAGGCTAAAACCACAAAACTCATTTTGATATCTCACTTATGTCATAAGTCATTGTCTGGAATTCACAAGTGAAAGGTTAGTATACACAATAGAAATCTTGAAGACCTTTCCTATAGAATTTTCAATAGAATTCTACATTTCAAGTTATCTTCATATTTCTTTTTAGGAATGGAAAATAATTTCTTACAGAAAATAGTTTTGTCTGTACTGAAAAAACCATATTCGGTTCAATGATCTGTAGAACATTTGCCTTGATTCTAATAGAAACAGGAAATAGGAAACATACAATCCATGCAAAACATGCATTCTCGGCTCAAATATTGTATCAGGGTGGCAATACCATGAATTCATTAAATCTATTCTTTTCTAGGAACACTTCACAGAAGTAATAAAGAATCAGGAATTTCTTTTGCTTCCTGCTAGTGAAATTGCAAAACTCCTTTCTAGTGATGACATCAATATACCAGATGAAGAGGCCATATTCCAGGCTCTAATGATGTGGGTGAAACATGATTTGCAAAGCAGGCATCAAGACCTAGGAATGCTTCTCTCTTACATTAGACTACCACTACTTCCACCACAGGTATATGAATGTACATTATTAAGGGACAATAGCTCTAAATCACTACCTGGGAAACAAATTTTCCTTGCTGTGACATACTGTTCTGTATACTCCAGAACAGTAGTGGGATGTTTCATTACAACCTTGGGTGCCTTGCTGCAGTAGCTTCGATCTGAGCCACTAAAGGTGTGTCTGCACAGCACTCATACCTTGAAATAATCTATGCAATTTATGCATATCTTATTTCGAGGTTATTTTGAAATAGCTTATTTTGAATTTGGGCACTGTCTACACAGCACCAAATTTCAAAATAAAGCACTATTTTGACAAATCCCTTAACCCTCAAGTGTTACAGGGATGCTGGAATAGTGCACCCACTGTTTTGAAATATATTTTGAATTAATGGGTGCATTTAAGGAAGTGGTATTGCCATTTCAGGATACTTCCGGTATCCCAAAATAGCCCCGCTGTCTAGACGTAACCTAAGAAGCAGCCTTTCCACTGAAGGTCTGTGTGTAACTTCATCTGACAGCCATCTTTGGCTTACTCTCTGGTTCTTATTATGCAGAGTGATCTCAGTTATTATGCAGAGTGACCTCAACACACACTGAAGCTTTTCCCACAGAGCTGTATGTCCTGTATTGCTCAGCCATCTCCAGAATGTTAAAAATATTTAAAACCTGTTATTCCTTTAAAGGAAAATATTCCATCTTATTATCCCAAATAATTCTTCATACTTCTCAATTTAGATAACTCCAGATTAGATAAAACAGTAAAAAAAACTATTAACTACAAAGAAACTGATTTAAATATAAGTAATGAGGCATAAAAGTCAGAAAATAAAGATACATATTAAAGCCTAACAAAAAATTATATAAGATTCAAGCAAAGTTTCTGATAATATGCTCCATAAAATTACTGGCAAAACTCTCAGGTCAGGGCCCCTCACCCAGATCTAGCACTGGTTTCCTTTTCTCTTCCAAGACAATGAATGCATAGGCAGGGGGAGAAAAAGGGTCCCTTGGGGTGTTTGCTCCTCCTTTTTGTAGATTCAGATGTGGAAGGATGTTGTCTGTTGGCTTTATCTCATCCGGCTGAGTCTTCTTTTTTCCCCCTCTGCTTGTCGATCCCTCTCTGTTTATTGCTTACATTAAGACAAGCACACATTCCTTTCTCTAAGACATTCCTATTTGTTGAGTTCTGCTTGGGCAGAGCAGTGGGGTTTGGAACATGTGTTAACAAAAACATAAAGATAAATCTTCTAACTGTAGATAAATTGTTGCCACACACCCTGATCACTCTGGTCTGCATATCAGAATATGAGGTGCTGATCAAATCTAGACTCCACACACCATATACAGGTTCCCGAAGAGCGTAAGGTTCTACAGTTGCATGTTGGATATCAACATATTGCACATATTTCATTTAAAAAAGACATAACAGACTTTTAATTACTTCCTCTATTAGTAAAGTTTGCCTTCTGAACTGTAATGGTCCAGCTTCTACTACGCATGTTCAAGGGAGTTTTGCCATTGACTTCATTGGGAGCAAGATTGAGTAAAAGTAATATTTAAAATATTTTATTTTCTTAAATACAGTACTTTGCACCAGATTATTTATTTGGATTATGCCAAACCTCAAATAAAAGATCAGCCCAAAATAATTAGATTTCTGATTTTGCTTCAGATATTAAGCTATATCCCACCTTTTAATTGAGTATAGATCAATGCAGTGGTTCCCAACAGATGGTCTGCAGACTGGCGGCGGGTTGTGACCCCTGACTTGCCAGGCCATAGCACATTGCCCAGCCATGCCCCCAGCTTTCAATTAGCTCTGCCCACTGGGGTTCCCTATCAGCAGCAGGGTAAGTAGGGCAGCAGGCAGGGCTGGAACCAGGGCCATCATGAGGCTGTCCCCTACTGGAACAGTCTCACTGTGGCCCTGGTTCCAACTTCAACAGCTGCTACATAGTCCAGCTGGCAGGGCTATGTGGAGTGTGGCTGCAGTGCTATGGGTGGGAGAGGCCACAGCTGTGTGGTGAGTGGCTGGGCCTGTTCTGGCAGCCGGAGGTGGGGCCTATGCTACAGCCACATGGTGAGCAGCCGGGGCCAGTTTCAGCAGATGGGGGTGGGATCTGAGCCATGGCTGCATGGTGCGTGACTGGGTCCTGCTCTGGCATGGGGATTGGGACCAGTTCAGGAGAAGATAGGGGGGCTGGAGCCTGCTGCTTGATGGGAAGGCTGAGACCTGCCACGGCTGCGTGACGCGGGAGGCAGAGGCCTGCTGGGGGTGGAGACGGGGCTGGGATCTGCTGTGGGGAGGAGGGGGACCGAGCCTGCTGCCTGGCAGGGGGCTGGGATCCATCCAGTGAGTGGTAGCTCTGGCCACTGGGACTGAATAAAATAATATGGGGCAGCAGGAGTCAGATTTAGAGTGTATGAAGGGGTGAGGGTACAGATTTTGGCAAACAGGAAATGTTTTACTTGCATATTTGTTATTTGCTGCAAGTTTGCAAATGGGTTTGCTGGTCCCCAGTATAAAAAAGGTTGGGAACCACTGGATCAATGTTTCATTTCTCAGTTACTAGCAGATCTTGAAAATAGCCCAATGTTCACGCATGACCTTGAGTGTCAGAAACTTCTTATGGAAGCTATGAAGTATCATCTCCTACCAGAAAGAAGGTCCATGATGCAGAGTCCTCGGACTAAACCTAGGAAGTCGACAGTGGGTGCACTTTATGCCGTAGGAGGCATGGATGCTACTAAAGGCAAGTTCAGAAGTTGTTTTCAGTTATTTTAGCAACACCCAGATAATAACTGGCAAAGAAGTTATAGGATCATTAGGAAGTTTCTAATAGAAATACGGGAATTTAGGGATAAGAGAATAAAATATCCATTCATTCTGTGCTCTGTCTTCTAGCAGAAAGTAATAGTTTTTTCCTCTCCAAGTTTTGACTTCAAATCCAATTCAGAGGAACACTTAAAATTTAGAGTATTACAGTACAGATTTCTGCAGTAATTATGAGACAGTTTGGAAACACAGTGAAACAATTGTTTTTATTTTGTTTTGAAACTTCAAATTCTAGTCTCAATCAAATCCTGAACAGTTAGAAAGAAAAATAGAATAAACAAAAAATTTCAAAATTATTAGATCATATAAAAGTATAATTTATTACTGATCATTTTCTAAAATGGCATACCTTCTAAACAAAGTTAATCCATATTTAATGAAAGTGAATCTTTAGTTAGACTTTTGATTTTTTCACTTTTGCAACAAAACATAACATTTTTTCAGTACTTCAATGAGAATTCATAGAGTTTGTCACTGAAGACTAATTGTTACAGCTGTGTTCTAGATTTTGGGACGAATTGTCTATCATTATAATCAAACCCCCTTGGCTGTGGGGAAGATGAAAAAGCCCATCCTGACTTGGGAAAAATTCCTTCACAGCACCCAAGGAGAAAGGGAAACTTGTACGATTCCCACAAAGGATCATGAAGGGACCCTGCTTCTCTTTCTAGGGTTCATCTACACTGCAGTGTTTTTCTAGAATAACATCCATTCTGTTATTTTATCAGAAAGTAGAAATAAAAGATGGCTTTTTCTGATGGCGGTAAACCTCATTCCACAAGGAATAAAGCCTTTTCCAAAAAAGCTTTTTTGGAAAAGGGTGTGTGTTAATGCAGAATAGGGAGTTTTGTCGAGAAAAGAAAGACCTCCAGGAAATATCACAGGTGCCCTTCTGGCCACTCCTCCCACACTCATCACAACTCTAGTTCCTGTACCCTGGAAGCTCTTAAACATACAGACACAGGGGGATATCTCGTGGCAGGAAGCAGGTCCTTACAGCTTCCAGCACCAGTGTAGCTACCAATGCCACACATCTGGCAAGGTAATCCCTTGCCTGTTCCAAGGAGCACTCATAGGGCTCCCAGGAGCCTGACAGGGACTGCAAAAAGCACGTGCCATCCTAGTCTGGGGTGGAGATCCTGGCCCTCCTTGAGGTGTGAGGCAATGAGGAGAACCTACAGGATCTCCACTCCAGATGGTGCAATGACGACATCTACGGCCCGACAGCCTGGCCATGAAGGGCCACACCAGGGCTCTATAGCAGGTCCGGAGTGAATTGAAGGAGCTCATGCTACAGTCCAGGACCCCACTCCTGCTCCTATTTTGAGGAACTGCACTACATCCTGGGGGCGGTGCAGCCCCTTCCCCACTCCTGGTGGTAGACTCAGGGCTGGAAACACCCATCGTCACCTGCCCAGGGGTCCCAGCCCATGAGGAGAAGGAGGAGGAGGAGAAAAAGGTGGAGGACGCAGCCAACACGGTGACCACCATCACCCTGGAGCCGGTACCCTATGGCCTGAATGCATCCAGGGCATCCTCCAAGGCCTGAGAGGGATCATCAGGTGAGTGCTCTTATTTTTTCACACACACAGGGTGCGGATGCCGGGCACTGAGGGGATGTGGTACGATCTTCACTTGGCGTTCTCAGCTTGGCTGTCACATTGCAGTCCATGCACATGGATGCATGTGCAGCACCAGTCTGCGCCATGCAGCCCCAAGAGGCAGCACCAGAGCACCTCTGGGCTCCTGCTCACAGGCTCTGGGGAAGCCGCCCACATTTCTGACCCCTGGAAGGAGGCTGGGGACAAGGGGACACACACACATGCACATAGACTTTGGAGTGTCACACACGGCACATGGGCATGCCTGCACGCTAGAGGCAGCACCTACTCCCAGGGACAGTACTGCCAACTGCAGGAGTGTGTGCAGCCCTAATGGAAGGCCAGGCTGCTCAAGGCCCCATTTCTGTCCATTGGATCCCATGTTCCTTATGTTCTTATGGTCCCCCTTTCGAGATGCCCATTGTCATCCTCAGGGCAGAGAGAGACGAGCAGGAGATAGAGGAGGAGGATCAGTCAGAGGAGGCCAGCACCAGCACCCTCCTGACCCAGGAGCCAGTACCCCTCCCTGTGGACATGTGCCAGGCATTGTCTGAAGCTGGGGAAGTAGGGAATTCCTTTCACATGGGGGTGGAGGGGATGCTGGGCACTCTTTTCTTGGCCCTTGTGACATGGCGATTGTGCAGTGGCTTGTGCATGTGGGAGCACCTGTCATACCACACAGGAGTATGCCACAGAACCTCATGCTATTGGCCACAGGGTGCCTGGAGAGGCCTTCCATGCTTGTGACTCCCTCTACAAGCCAACTCTAGAAGGGGGCTGGGGTAATTCACATGGCACACAGAAGTCCCGCCCATGGCACATGGCAAGCCCACACTTTCAGGGCAGCACCCATTCCCGGTGACATCTGGGCCTCTGTAGGAATGGGCCCACTGGCCAGAGTACACATGGCCTTACTCCAAACACATCACCTTTGACTGAGCCGAGAACAGCTGCTCTCAGCTCACGGATGAGGGCTAGGCTTCAGGCACAGTGCTCCCTGGGATGACTGACCATCTCTCTTTATTCTCCACAGCCAGACCATCTGCGAGAGGGGGACAGTTGACACCACCGAGGGCAGCCTCCTGACCCTGAGAAACCTGCAGGCACAGGAGACCAATGGATGAGTTCAAGAGGCAGCATCCAGAACTCTGATTCCAGGAGCTGACCATTGACCACAGGCTCCAAGAAGACATCCAGCCATGGCAAGACACCTGGTGGGAACTGCTGGAGCAGGGCTGCTCCATGTGCATGGCTGTGCACTACCTCCTTGCCACCATGATGCCTGCTCCTCCTCCCACTCCTGTGCTTGCTGTAGCTCCTCTCACTCCCTCTCCCATTCCTGTGGTGGTGGGATCACCAGGGCCAGGCACCACTCCCAACCTCATCCCTGAGCCTCTCCTCCCCCTTCCTTCCCCTTCCAGCTTCCTCCAAGATTCTTATTCCCCCTGCTCCCCATTCTCTCCTCCCATCTCCCAGGTTCTTTTTCCAGTTTCTTTGACCCCCAAATAAAAAGAAAAAGAAATTTTATTTTTTCCAAAACAAAAATGTTGTTTATTTTCTCAGCAGGGAAAGGGGGAAGGTGGGGAAAGGAGGGGTGTAGAAGAAAAGGCAGAGGAGGCAAAGCACAGGCCTCTAGTGGGACAGCCCAGGGGAAAGTGTCATTGGCCCCCCGGGGGAGAAACTCTCCATCAAAGCCTGCTGGATGCACACGACCCCCTGATGGATGGTAGCTGTGTGCGACTGTTCAAAGGCCCTGCAGATGCTGTCAGCCTCCAACCCCCACCCTGGCAGGACTGCCTCCCCCTTCCACTCACACACATTGTGGAGCACACAACATGCAGCCACCATATGAGGGATGTTGAGCTCCCCAAGGTCCATCTGGGTGAGGAGGCATCTGAAACATGCCCTCAAATGGCCGAAGGTGCCCTCTATGACCATGCAGGTCCTGCTGAGCCTGGCATTATATTGTTCCCGAGAGGGGTTGAGGTGGCCGGTGTATGGCTTCATGAGCCAAGGCAGAAGAGGGTAGGCCACATCCCCCATCATGCAGATAGGCATGTCCATGTCCCTGGTTCTGATGGTGTGGTAGGGAAAAAAATTCTGGCATGCAGCTTCTGGAACATGCTAGAGTTTCTAAAGACACTGCGTTGTGTGTCTTCCCCGACAACCCAACATAAATGTTGGTGAACTGGCCCCAGTGGGACCATTGCAGAATGTTTATTTTCTCAGCAGGGAAAGGGGGAAGGTGGGGAAAGGAGGGGTGTAGAAGAAAAGGCAGAGGAGGCAAAGCACAGGCCTCTAGTGGGACAGCCCAGGGGAAAGTGTCATTGGCCCCCCGGGGGAGAAACTCTGAGAGATGCCCAGTGGCTGGGGGCCTGGATGGGGATGTGGGTGCCAATAGCACCGCCGCAGTTGAGTTGGGGAAGCCCATGTCGGCAAACCCAGCATTGATGGCATCCACATCACCGAGGTGGATGACTCTGTGCAGCAGGATGGTGTTGATACCCCTCATCACCATCAGAAGGAGATAAACAGAGAATCACAGGGGTGTCAGAGCCCCTGACAGTCCCTCCAGCCTACTGCCCTGATCCTCCCTCTCCCACTCACCAGGAGCAACCCTTCACCCCTCACGTTCACCCCAACCCCCAGCAGGGCTTTTTCAGGGTGTGAATAAACCTCCTGCAGAGGGGGCTTGCACCACCACCTTTCCCTAGGGAACCCAATTCCTGCAGTCCACCCTCCCTTGGAGCAATAGCCAGAGAATGCCATACCTGCATGAGCACGGCCCCAGCATTCCATCTCCCCATGCTGATCTGGTTCCTGACAAATTGGTGGCTATCCAGCATGGTGGCTTCCAGAGGGCAATGGCAACATGCTTCTGGATGGGGATGGCAGGTCTTGTGTGAGTGTCCTGTCACCTGCGGGCAGAGGCAAGCCACTCACAGAGTTCCAGAAACATGTCCCTCCTCATCCTGAAATTCTGGAGCCATTGCTGATCTCCCCACTACTCGATGACAATCTGGTCCCACCAATCTGCACTGGTGTCCAGACACCAGAGGTGTGGGACATGGTGTCCAGGAGAGAGTGAGTGAGATCCATGTGCATGAGCCATGCCCACAGAGATCCAAGGAGGGTCTCCCAGAGGAACTGAAGTCTGGATTCCTGCAGGGCGTGGCCTGCAGAAACTGCTCCATGATTTGCAGCACAAACTGCAATAGCTGAAGGCTGCCCAGAGGCAGCTCTGGCTCCATGTCTGGCAAGCTGAGGTGTCTGCAAGGGCAACCACAGAAGGCAAAGGAAAAGGCTTTGTTGTCCCTCAAGGA